TATGCTGTATAAACAGAGTTGAGTCATCTTTACTATTATTGCTTAATCAGGTTTAAGAAAACCATCTCAGTACCAGTACTCAGTATAATCACCAGTACTGCTTGAATAAATTGCAACAAAGATTGTTTATTTTGTACAGATAATTTTTATGTCAGCTGGCCCGACTGCAGCTCAACATGTGTTCACACAGCGATCCTGCTGATATAATAAACTTTACTGGTGACCATCTGAGGGCACCGGGCCGTCACCAAATGTTATTTTGCTGTAAGTTTTGTTAATAAAAACTCTTGTAAAAGTTACCTTGTAGGTTTGAACTTGTGTCTCCTTCATGAACACACACGGCACCACCACTGCACCAACTAAACCTGCTGSACTTACTGTTTGTCTGAAACAATTACAGCTCAGATTCTGCACCAGCATTTTGTTCCATAATGACACAGACATGTATTAATCAATAAAGAGCCTCGGTTTTACAAGTACTGTAACATTTTATTTCTATATCTCACATTCTATATTTATCTATGTAATCAGATAATACAGTTTCTACAATCAATATTTATTTACAGGATTTCAGGTTCAAAACTGAATGAGTTCACATTAAACTACAAGAACACATTCTTATAAAAACATTCTGAACAAAAACAACAAAACTGTTGAAATGAGTGAAAACTTTTTTTTTATTAACTCTGCCAATCCTTTATTCATGTTCCTCGTTAGATGCAGTTAATAGCACAAGGATTGGCACAGTGTGGTTCTATACAGCACGAAACAAAAAGAACAAAAGCTGTCTCAATACTTACGATACAAACTCCACTATGTGCAGTGTAGTAATAGTGCAACCATACAATATGATGTATCTGATGCTTACAGTGATAGTTGTGAAGGCAAAGAACTGTTGTTTTTTTCCCTCCGCCAAGGRCGAGGTAATGTTTTTGGTTGCGTATGTCTGTGGACAACATTACTCAAAAACTTGTGGATGTATTGTCATGACATTTTTACCACATACTGGGCCAAGAAAAACCTTTAAATTTTGGTGATGTTCCAGATCACGATGCTGATACAGGAATTTTTTTTTCTTTTAACACTCTGAGATCGGCA